ATATTACATTTGCCCATTTCATTGAATGCTTTTAACATCTCGAATAGTTTTGTGGAGGGTGAAATTGGCTTCATTTGGGTCTTCTATTTCTTCAAATAACATTTTTATTTCCTTCCCGCTTCCCCAAGATTTAGTTTTCATTTCTTTTGGAGATCCTTATGTGATAAAGATAATTTTCAGCATTACATTGGAAAATAATGGTAACAAAGAACGCCTTTGCTTTGTTCATTTTTTAAAGGGAAATGTTGCTAGATTTGCTCTACCATTTATAAAATCAACTCTTAATTTTAAATTCTTAGTTTTTCCTTTTTAATGTTAAGAAAGAAAAACCCGTATCTCACTTTCAAGGGGTTTAAGACTGGATGTTGAATTTTATCAAACATCCTTTGGGGCTTTTATTGATATGACTATATGGTTCTATTATTGAAGTTATGGATATGTAGTTTTTATTTTGACAGTTTCCCTTTGATTGAATTATTCATTAATTCAGAGAGAATTTCCCTGATTCTCCAATCTTGAGTAGCCTCCCATTGCTCTTTATCACACGCCCATCTTATTCTCTTCAGGGCAGTCATATCTGAAATAGTCTTGTTTGTTTACATGTTTATTGCCTGTCCCCTATGCACAGGGCCCTTACTGGTATTGCTGCTTTGACATCCTTAATGGTCAGATCATCATTGCCGTATTAAATTGTGATAGACCCTGATCTGGCGTTACAGGACTATCTCGAAGCTGATATCCAGCTGAACCCAAAGCTGCTTCCTAAATCCTGGCTCTTCCTGAAGATCTATTTGCAAGACATCTCTGTGCAGAAGTGGCCTTTCGCTCAGGAGAGAGCACTGCGTGGAACTGACATTTCTCAATTTCTGAGCTAAAGTTCTGACCTGCTGTTAAGTCTTGCTGCCCCTGGACACAGTGACACCAGGGATTTATATACACTTTTATTCAGAGATTGTGCAAATAAGAACCCACCATCCTTAAATTTTTTTAGCAAAATATAAACCATTTTCTAAGCAAATAATAAGATCTAATAATATCAAGATATCAGCACTAGATTAGAAGTAACACTTGGATTACAGCCCAGGTATTTTCACTTATTTACCATGTGACCTTGGTCAAGTTATTCATCCTCTTAGATTCCTCTTCTGTAAAATGAGGGAACTGAGTTAGATTTATAAATGCCTTCCAGCTGCAACTCAAAATGAATAATTTATTAGAGAAAATTTATAAAATTAATATTAATAAACTACTCTTTTTATATCTAATTTGTTAAAATAAGCTTTGACAAGAGATTTTCACATATTGAGGTATGGAGTAGCTATCCTGGGTCAAAACCGATTCGGCTTGAACCAAAGAAGTCTGACTTACGGCCCATCAAACACACACTGTACATCTGCTTTAACCACAAAAGTAAAGGAGGTGCTAAACATTAACTCAAAGTAAAAGGACGCACTCTTTTAACATAAGAATGCATAATTCCCCTCATACGCCCACCAGTATTGGGTAACACCATAGCAGTACTCCTGACACGGGGGTCATGCTGACCTGCTAATCTGCAACTGAACAGCCCTTTGAAATTTTGATGAATATGTATCTTGGCTATGTTTAATGTATGTTCTTTGTTCTAAAAAGGTATAAAACTGTACTGAAAACCATGCTTCTCCAGAATGCTTTCTTCCTTTGTGGAACCTGCCTTCCTGGGTTATAATCCTCAGTCTGGCTCAAGTAAAACTCACATTCTCTCTCCTATCTTCAGAATGGTTATTGGTAAATTGTGTCAACACCTTGGTAAACCTTCAGGTCCTGCTCTCTTATCAGAATATGATGGCAGCTTAGTGCGATTTTTGCATCCGAACATCAGATCATCTCTTCAATTAAATCCCATGAGTCAAGTGATTTGGAGATGAGCTTTAACAGTGGAAAACTCTAAGGTAATCTCCCTAGGCCCTCTGCTTATTCTAGAAACTGCTCCTCTCTCTCTCCTTCCCACTCCCACTACAATGCAGCCACAGTCTTATTGCAATGTGGCCCTTCCTTCTGGCCACAGTTAATTACCTGTGGTCCAAGCTGGGCACCTCACTCAGTTGGGGCGAGTGAGTCCCATCCTGGAATTTGGGTCTTAGATAGGAAGGAAGATGGAGAGCTGGTCCCTAATGCTTGAAGTCATAAAATGTAAACCCTGGGTATACCAAGCAGCCGCGTTCCCCCTGGGAAAGATGGTCTGTAGGAACAAGACACAAACAGAGGACCCGACATTGCTGGTCCACAGACGAGCTGTATTCCCATCCCCAGAGCAGGCTGTTCAACTCTTCTTTGAGACATAGCCCCGTCTAAATCCAATAAGTTCTTCTTTTGCTTTAGCTGGCCAGAATCTGATTTTCTTGCCTTCCCTCCCCCTCTAAAACAATCTAAAGTAACACAACTTCTATCGAAATAAATTGAAATCTTTCCTCTTCAGATAATCTCCCTGCCAGGGAGTATTACTTCTCTCACAGCCCTGTCCATCTCTGTGACTTCTATAATGCTGCCTTGAGTTTTCTGCTCACATTACTCCTTTCTTTAAATTGAAAGATTTCCATTAACTTAACGAGAAAAAGATGTACTTTTTCCAGCTAAAACTGACCTGTATGACTCAGAGAGATTTTCACCTTGTTTCCTTCACTTCCCAGCCCTTCTCCTTCAGATTCTGTTACACAAAGTACCATAGTTTGCAGTAAAAGAAAATTCTATAGACACAGGTCAGTAAACTATATATATATATATATATATACATATACATATATATATTTCTGTTGCACTTATGGGCCTTAATTTCATCTACTCAGATCTTGAAGTCAGAAAAAAAAATAAAGGATGTGTGATACTTTATAATAAATAATCCTTTGAACCAAAACAACTTAAGCTATACTAGAATCACAGTAAATCATGAAAATAGCAAAGTGATGGCATCCTGCCTCCTCAGCAATCCAAACTCCAGTGTTACATCCATTTGTAACAATGTAATTATGAAGAGGGGCTGGCCCCGTGGCCGAGTGGTTAAGTTTGCGCGCTCCCCTGAAGGCGGCCCAGTGTTTCATTGGTTCGAATCCTGGGCGCGGACATGGCACTGCTCATCAGACCACGCTGAGGCAGCGTCCCACACGCCACAACTAGAAGGACCCACAAGGAAGAATTTACAACTATGTACCGGGGAGCTTTGGGGAGAAAAAGGAAAAAAAATAAAATCTTAAAAAAAGAAAAAAACAATGTAATTATGTACTCCCTATACTGGAACATATTTCTGAGGAGGAAACACAAATTATTTGAGGAAAAATATTACTAACCAGCATAGACAAAAGGGTCAATGAGGAAATGAGAATGGTGTTAAGGGATATAAATTAATAGCTTATCCACAACTACTATTGAAATTTTCCTTTGTTTTGATTTTTCAGATGTCTTATGGGATTATATGTTCTTCAGAATAAAATTCCCTAATGTTTTTTTTTCTCATTTATGTGAATGTGCATCCCATCAGAAAAATCCGATTCCAAGACTAGAAAGCTTTGTTTCTGTTTGGTCCTTAGCGACCACGAGATGTGGCTTCCCCCACAGGCAACACAAGTCTCATGAAATGGAGGCAGAGCTTTCAAGCCTTAAAATTCATTTCTCTGACTGTACAGTCATTACCAGTATAGGCAAAGCAGATCCAAATTACCACTTCCACTTCGGGCCAACTAGAGAAGAGACAGCCCTTGTTTCAGAATTCTTTAAATCTTCCCTGACAGGAGTGCTAGGAAAAGCACAAAACACGGAATCATAAATTGGTCTTTTGACAAACTGCCAATCCAGTGACTCTTAAAGGAAGAAGAGTGAACACTGAGGACAAAACAAAAGTAATAGCCGAGAGATGCGCTTGAAAAGTGAACTAAAAATGCAGAGAAAACAGGGGTAAAAGGAGCCAGCCCAGCATACATGCAACTTCAGAGCCCCGAGGGAAAACTTCATAAGGAAATCTTTTATTGCTTTAAAATTGATGCGTAAACCTCTCCAAGCAGAGAGTCCCTGTGGTTTGGTGGAATGCTTTGGAGGCCTGGGTATTATGACCCCAGAATTTCTGGTGCAGAAATTAAAAGTTAGAAAAAGCCTTTCCTATTTTCTGTCTCCAGGGATGATTTATTTTAAAAGATATGTATATATATTTAATCTGTAAGTTTTGCTATAACAATATGTATTACAAATTTCATATTTATATTTTAAAATATAAATGTGCTTAAAAATATAAATCTTTCTGGACTGAATGTCTTTGTTCTAGGAAAGATGCTGATTCATTTGTAAATTAATTTTGGGAAGAATTTTCATGACATACAAAACATGAAAAATTATATGGCAGTTTATTTGGATCAGTTTCATGTAATTCCCCATGGGCTATAATAAAATCATAACACTGACTCCTAAGGTATCAGTGGAAAGAAGCCCAAATTTATTTTTTTTAACATTTAATTCCCAACTGCTTACCTACTGACTCAAAATTACATACATTGAAATACTTTCTTTCTTACTCAGAATTAGAAATGAAATCATGTCCGGTATGTCATCTAACAGCTACTTTTTAAAAGTAGGATCAAAAATTCTGGTTTAAGCTAGTAAACATATTTTTCTCTCTTCTCTTTTCTGAAATCCCCTGAAAATGATGGCAAAGGAAAAATTATTAAAGGTATAAATCCACAAGCACAAAGGGAGCTGGAAAGACACTACAGCAGACAAGGAACGTTAACAAACTTGTGAAGATGGAAAGCAGATGAAGAAGTGGAAACTGGCTTAGCAGAGCAGAGAAACCTGATATCTAAATGCCTAACACGAAACTGAAGCAAGCTGATTCTCTCAGAGAACCCAGGACGGGCTCTGGATTGGGAGGTCCTGAGAAAAGCAGAGATGCAGGGTGGGACTGGCCACACAGGAGAACTGGTTGGAAAGAACACTGCAACCCACCCTATGAAGCCAGGTAGCTACTGTTGTCTCACCTTAGGAGGTTTATTCTCTGGAGCAATTGAACCAGAGAGGGCCAGACTTGAGGAGTCCAGGCACAGCAGAGAGCACGGCTAAGGCACTAAAATGAAAATAAAGGACTAATCAGAGTTAGGCATAATGAACAATGAGACGGCCCACCTCCATCCCTATAACCCCTTCCAGGGCCCAGAACACCAGGAGCCATGGCTATTCCTCCCAATCAAGACAACAGAAAAGCTGTCAACACAATAGTTCCACTATTTTTTTGCCACTATTTGCCACTATTTCTGCCTTCTTGGGAGTAGACAATCTGCCCAACTCATCTTTATCTTTGGTAGAGTATAACACAAACTGACACATTTTTAAAGAAAGAAAAAGTTTGCATTCCCCTATCATTACTGTTAGTAACGTTAGTAGAATTAGCATTATTTTCAATTCAGTTCAAGAATGCTGCTATGGACATTTGTGCTCAAGTTTTGTATGGACATATGTTTTCATTTCCATTAGGAGGAGAATTGCTGGATGACACGGTAACTCTAGGTCTAATCATTTGAAGAAATGCCAGACTGTTTCCCAAGCAGCTGCAGCATTTTACATCCCCACCAGCAATGGGTGTTCCAACTTTGCCACATCCTTGCCAACACTCGTCATTATCTGTCTTTCTTATTATAGCTATCCTAGTGGGTGTGAAGTGGTATCTCATTGTTTTGATCTGCATTTCCCTAATAGCTAAAGATTTTGAACATCTTTTCATAAGCTTATTGGCCATTTGTGTATCTTCCTTGGAAAAATGTCTATACAGATCTTTTGCCCATTTTTAATTAGGTTATTGGTCTTTTTTCCCACCAGCAGTGTATGAGTGTTCCATTCTCTCCACAACCTCTCCAACATTTGTTACTATTAGATTCAGATATTTTTGTCATTCTAACGGGTGTAAGGTGATATCTCAGTGTAGTTTTGATTTGCATTTCCCTGATGATCAGCGATGATGAGCATCTTTTCATGTGCCTATTGGCCATCAGTATATCTTCTTTGGAGAAATGTCTGTTCATGTCTCCAGCCCATTTTTTGATCGGGTTGTTTGATTTTTTGTTGTTGAGTTGTGAGAGTTCCTTATATATTATGGATATTAAGCCTTTGTCAGATATAGGTTATTTGTCTTTTTATTATTGAGATGTAAAAGTTCTTTATTCTAGACACAAGCCTCTTATCAGACATGTGATGTGCAAATATTTTCTCCCATTCTGTGGGTAGTCTTTTCACCGTCTTTCTTCATGGTGTCCTTTGAAGCACAAAAGTTTGAAATTTTGATGAAGTCCAATTTGTCTAGTTTTTTCTGTAGTTACTTGTGCTTTTGATGTCACATCTAAGCAGTCTTTTCCTAGTTCAAGGTCACAAAGATTCACTTCCATGTTTTAAGAATTTGATCATTTTAGCCCTTACATTTAGTTCTGTGATCCAGCTGGAGTTAATTTTTGTATATCGTATGAGGTAGGCATCCCACTTTATCCTTCGCATGTGGACACTCAGATGGCCCAGCACTACTTGTTGGAAACTGTCTTTCCCCTTTAATTGTGTTGGCACCTTTGTTGGAAATCTGCTCAGCTTCTTAAATCTGTGTGTTTGTCTTTCGTCAAATTTCAGAAGTTTTCAGCCATTATTTCTCTGAGTATTTGTTAGCCCCAGTGGTTTTCTTTACTCCTTCCAGGGTTCTGATGACGTGAATGTTAGCTCTTTTGCTATAGTCCCTCAGCTCCATGAGATGCTCTTCATTTTTCTTTCAATCTGTTTTCTCTCTATTATTGATGGGGTAATTTCGATTGTTCTACCTACAAGTTCACTGATTCTTTCCTCTGTCTCCTCCATTGTGGCATGGAACCCATCCACTTAGTTTTTTCTTTTGATTACTGTATTTTTTAGTTCTAAAATTTCCATTTGGTTCTTCTTTATATCTTCTGTTTCCTTGCTGACACTATTTTTTTTGCTTCGTTTCAAGTCTTTTTGGAGTTGCTTATTGAACCATTTTTATGTCTGCTTTAAAATCTGTGTCAGATAATTCTAACATCTCTGTCATCTCGGTTTTGTCATCTATTGTCTTTTTTTTTAATACAGTTTGAGATCTTCCTGTTTCTTGATATGATTAGCTATTTTCTATTAAAATCTAGACATTTGGGGTATCACATAATGAGACTTTGGGTCTCATTTAAATCTTGCTTTAGCTGGCTTTTCCTGACACAGCACTGGGAGTGGACACGGGCGTGGGGAGCAGGAATCACCTCCTTACCGCCAGGGTGGAGGAGAGGTCCACGTTCCCCACTTGGCCCCCACTGATGCCCTAGATGGGAGCCTCCTCATTACTGGCCAGTGGGGATGGAAGTCCTAGCTCCCAACTTAACCCTCTCTGACACCAGAGGGCAGGAGGAGTTGGGGCACCTTGTGTCAGCCTGGTGAGGGGGAGAGTCTAGGCTCTCCACCAGGCCTTTGCTGGCATGAGTGGAATGTGGCGGGGGGGGGGGGGGGGGGGGGCACAATTTTTTCCCGTAGGTTGTGGCTGGAGTAGAGCAGTTAGTCTAAATGTTTTCTGCCTGCTATACTGCCTTTCCTGGCCCTTCAGCTAGAGAGAGCAGTATTCTGTTGGCGCTTTTTCGTCTGCACCATTGGCATTTCCAGATCACCAGCTTCTTCAGTTTCAAGTTTGGGATATGCGAGGCAAAAAGAAAAGCCAGGGAGCTAACCATCATGTTGTTCCTTGGGTCTCAAGGGCCCCAGCTAATCTGTCATCCCTCCACCTTTCAGAGTTTTCTTATGTTTGTTTCACATGTCGCGTTCAGGGTTTTTAGTTGTACTTAGTGGGAGGAACAGGGAAAAGTAGATCTATTCCATCTTCCCATAAGTAGAAGTCTAAGTAGACCTTTTTATAAATAGAATCATATTTTAATCACTAGACATACTAATGTTAAAGGAACTTTGAAGTTAATCCTTTCCCAGTTAATAATTAGTATCTAATTTTTTTGTTGTTTGTTTTCTGAGGAAGATTAGCCCTGAGCTAACTGCTGCCAATGCTCCTCTTTTTACTGAGGAAGACTGGCCCTGAGCTAACATCCATGCCCATCTTCCTCTACTTTATATGTGGGATGCCTACCACAGCATGGCTTGCCAAGCGGTGCCATGTCCGCATGCACCTGGGATCCAAACCAGCGAACCCTGGGCCGAGAAAGCCAGAACATGTACACTTAACTGCTGTGCCACCAGGCCGGCCCCTAATTTATCTTTTTTGGACATTCAAACTATATATTGGGCTTGCTTTAAATGAGAAACGCCTACAGATTATTTACACATTTCCTAATACTGACTATAACTGTCCTCTTTCAAAATCTGAATTAAATTCTTCTAAATAATTACTTTTTAAAATGCTTTTTCTTTAATGCCAAGCTGAAGATGTTTCGATGGAAGGCAATTCCTTAAAGCGTCTAGTGTTAAAGAATATAATGAGAATTCCCACGTCTTTCCAGAAGTATAACATGGAAACATTTCTCAGAAGTATTCTATTTCAGAAGCTTGCCTGTATCTAAAAGATTATTTCACTTCTCTTACTGAGTTTCCATATACTCACCAACAATTGCCTACTAAAAATATTTATTTAACAATGTTTGGATTTCCAGACATATTACTTTTTTTCAATAACCATTCCTCCTTTTCAAATATCTGTCCTTTTATACATATTAATATCTAGTAATACTATCTTTTACTGCCCTCTAATTATCTGCCAGGCACTCTGCTAAAGAATTCTTATTATATTTTGTCTTATTTAATCCTGTTTAAGACAAGGAAAGAGAAGCTCAGAAAGACTGAACTGAAAGCGTTGGTAAGTAGTAAAGCCAGAATCTACACACAGGCCTCTGCCCCCCAGCTTCACGTTTATTTTGACGTTGCTACGTCTGACAGAGTGAGCACCTTTTCTTTCCAAGGTGAAAGCTTATAGGTATGTTTTCTCCCTTAAGGCTATTTTGTCATTTCTTCCATTCTTTGATTTTTATCTTGGCCAATTTTTCATCTAAGAAAAAAATTTTAATACAGAAATTTAAAATACAAGATAGCTGTAAAGGGTTTTGAGGTTAAAAATCAAAATTTATTTACTTTTTTAAAAGATTGGCCCTGAGCTAATATCTGTTGCCAATCTTTTTTTTTCTTCTTCTTCTCCCCAAGGCCCCCCAGTACATAGATGTATATTCTAGTTGTAGGTCCCTCTGGTTCTGCTATGTGGGATCCCGCCTCAGCACAGCTTGATGAGCAGTGCTAGGTCCGTGGTCAGGATCCGGACCGGCAAAACCCTGGGCTGCCAAAAGGGAGTGCACGAACTTAACCAGCCAGCCATGGGGCTGGCACCCTATTTACTGTTTTTAATTTCAGTATCTGTCATAAAAAACAACGCCAATTCTTCAAAGTTTAACCACATAAGCACTGCTGTATTGTATTTGGGTATAAAGAGAAAACACTACTGGGTAGTTGCTATTTCATGTGCAAACTTTGTAAAGACAAAATAATAGGAAAAGTAAAATAAAATAAGCTGTGTTAATAAATTCATGTTACTAGTAAGATTTACTGTTTAAAAAATGCATTTTTAATTTAACCTAGAAGATAGAGACAATAAGGCTACGTCTAAGCATCTCTTTATTCAATGCAGAACTATTTTATACTAAAATTTTAATTCACTTTCATTTAAATTTAATGAAAGAATGGATATTTAATTTGCCTAATCTCAATTCCACAGCGTTTGATAATGAATACTTTTTTCTTTCAAAAGATTTTGGCCAATAACTCCCCTTACATACACTGAATAATACTTTGCTTTTTTTCACTTCATTGCAAATATTTCCAAACTATTAATCAGGTGAATTCCTTACTAATTGCTTAGTCAGTAGTTCTTTCTATCTGTCATTCTTTGCTAACCCTTTACATTTAGAAAGATTCCATTTAGTCTTCTTTAGCAAAGTAGAAGGCAGATACCACACATCCCCTGATTTGTACAGATCACAGCTCCCTATTCCCCGACAGAACTTTTCAAATACAGAATCAAGCCCTCTTTGTTATTTGGATAAATACATGTATTCTGGATAAATTTCCTTGTGGATACACTAAACTATCATTTAGGAAGGTTTGCATTAGGTTTTTTTCCTTAGTAAACTGTTCTTATTTGGGGGGCTTCTTTTTTCTTTACACTACTGTATCCAACTGCTATCAAATGAACAGAAAATATTGAAATCATAATTATGAATGTTTTAGTTATTTAAAATGTTTTTTCTTGCTATGTTCAATTTCCTAATGATAAAAATGGTCTTTTCGTACTCAAAATTTAAGTTAAACTAGCTGTTTTGTAAAATGTTGTTGCAAATGGAAATTATTAAAAGTTTATTAATAAATAAGCTGTGTCAGTACAAATAAAAAAACACTTCCTAGCATTGGTATTAAAATTTTATCTAGATTACGCCTGGAAGGCAACAACCGCTACACAGTTTCAAAACAATATACACTGCACTTGCAAACAGGGTATTGGTAACCAAAATGCCAAACTGCGGGCATTTTTACACACATCCATCTTGTGAGGAAGAACATTATCAGCGGCATCGTCACCTTAGGAAATAACGATCGTGTAGCTTTGCAAATGGGAAATACTCATACATGGAAAATTTATACATAAGATTAACGCGAGGGGAACTGATACGCCCCTCCTCAGTACCATTACTGCAACCGAGCAGGAAAACGCCTGCCTCGCCCATTTTGAATTACTCCGCGTTCAGAAAGAGAGGGCACCTTCCCTTCCGGTGGCCGCCGACGCCGAGGAGGGCCGGTCATTTCCCACAGCAGGAGGCCGCCGTCCCCTCGGGCACAGCTGGCCACGTGGCCGCCCCGCGCGGCCCCGACCGTGCGCCCCGCCGCCGCCGCCCTGAGCCGCCGGGGCCGCCTCCGCCCGCAGCGGGGCGCCGGGCCGCGGGAGTGTGGGGGGAAGCGGCTCCCAGAGCGGGCGGCCCCGAGGCCCGGGAGCCAGGACGGGCCGGAGAACGCCCCGAGGCCCCGCGGCCCCGCGTGCAGCGTCCGTCGGGCGGCGGCCTCCCGGCGCGGCTCCTCCGCCGGCCCGAGGCTCGGCCGGCGCGCCCAGAGGCCCAGGGCCCAGGTTGCAGCGCGCGCGCACGCCGCGGCCGCGCGCAGGGCCGCCGGCCCCACAGACCCGGCCGAGCCGCCGGGCCCGCTGCCGTTGCCTAGGCGACCGCCGCGGAACGTTCGCGCGGCCCCGCCCCTCGGCCAATCGGACGGCGCTCGCCGGCGCCCGAGTTCTCTTTGTTCCGCAGCCATTTCGGGCCGGGAGCGGAGGCGTCGCCGCTTCGGCTGAGGGCCCGAGCGCCGGAGCCTCTGGGATGGTGTGGGACCGGGTAGGTGGCGCGGGGGCGCGGCCGGCCGGAGGGCGGGCGGGGGCGGAGCGGCGGGGAGGCCGCCGGGGCCGCGGGGAGGTGCCGGGGCGGCCGGCGGTTTGGAGCCGCGGGCGGCGCGGTTCGAAGCCCAACAGCTGCCGCCGAGCGCCCGGCTCTGGGTCCGCGGCGGGGCCTGCGCGGCGGCGGCGGCGGCGGGACGCCCGGGAACCCTCCCGCCCGTCACGCCGCGGCGGGGGCTGCCGCCGGCCCGCCGGCCCGCCGGCCCGGCGCCGCGGCGGCTTTGGGGCCCGGCCGCCGCCGCCTCGGCCCGCGCGGCGAGGGCTGTGCGCGGCCGCCCGCCTCGCGCCCTTTGTATCGCGGCCGCGCCCGGGCCGCCGCGGGCCGTCAGCGCGGCTGCACTCGCCCGGAGGGCGGGCGGGCGGTCCGCGGAGAGAAACGTGGAGGCTGGCAGCCGGCGGCGGCCCGCAGTCGGTGCGGACAGTTGTCCTCAGGTGCTTCCCGGCGGCCCTGCCTTCACGGGGACGGCGCAGCGCTGGGACTTCCTTTTACCCTAAAGGAAGGGCGTTTCTGAAATACAAGTTGTGTGGTGGATTAGGTATTTGGAAATCCAGGGGTGTAAGATGGGGTCCCGACGTGCTCGTTGCGGGGATGACAGGAGTTCCTTGGGATTTTAACTTTTCGCTGTGGCATCCCGGCCTTCAGATGGGGGTGGTAGGGAAGTTGTGCTCAGCGAAGCGGGGCGGGGGAGGCAGGTTTTTGGGAAACGATTCCGCTTTGCCCCGGCCCTCCACCCCATTCTTAGAGAACGGCTCCGCCGAGTTGAAAACCAGCAGCTGCAGAAGGGGCTGTGCGTCCGAGGAGCCGCTTTCTGTCTGCTTCCCGTGCACGCGCAGAGCACAAATGCCTCCAGCTTGGCGGTGCGGCTTGTCCTTCCCCTTGTTTCCTCTGGGCCTGGTGAACTGGGCTGCTTCGTTGTCTTTTTCCGAAATGGGGCCCTCCCCGCGTCAGCCCTGATGGACGGACATCTTCGTCCTGGGCGTGCAGGGAATTACTGACTTCCTCCCACTGCAATAAGTACGAAATCTTTCAAAGTGATCAGGCTTATTACCATTATATATTGGGAGCAGGATAAGGTTTTGGTAAGAATGTGTATGATTCTGGTTGTAAATATTCCCATCATCCAGACTTGTTATGGTATTCATTGTTTTTATGACTGTTTTTTTTTTCTTTATGTAATTTTGAAGCTGTCGCGTGAACTCAGTTTTTCTACATATGGTAAATGAACTGCTTTGAAATGTCACTGTACTAAGCTGAGGAGAATTGCTTGCATTTAACCATGTTGAGTTCTGCAAATACTGTTTTTAAGAAATTTGGTTATAAAGGAAGGCAAACCCAGGGACATATGTACTGAAATAAGTTTATCAAATATAAACGGCAGGGAGGAGCACAGCAGTACGTGGGAGTTATTTTTATTGCCCAGGGCATTGATTATGAATATTTCTTCCTGGCATTGATATTTGAATACATATTGGTGCCAAAAAGAACTTGTTCCCGATAAAACTGTTCGGTTTACCAGCAAACAGGTGAGAAAGCTGAGAGAATTAAAGTGACTGGTTAACTGATGAAGTTTTCAAAAATGGTGGAGAATAATGCCACCTTCAAAAAGGAAGGATCAGAGCCCTTGAAATTCCCAAGATGTTGGGGATCTTTCTTAGCTGGTCCCATTCAGTTAGCGCCCTGGTAGATACCTGGTGAGTATTGGCTCGTCAGAGGGGTCTCCTGCGCTGCAGAGGGGGCGAACCCTGCAGTGGAAGACAGACGTTTCCAAGGGTGGGACTGTGAATTTGTAGTTATGTGCATGGGTGTGAGTGTAGGAGAGAGTTCCTAGATGCCACATTCTGTTGCTCCACGACCTCCTTGCTAGAATTCTTTGAAGTACTTGTCAGTAGGTGTAATAAGTAAGAATGTTAGAGTTCTAGAGTCTTAATGCTGAAATGAGATATTGGAACAGGAAACAGGGGTGCAGATTTGTCTTGGAACTTTCTGGAGTGGGTAGAATGCATACAGCAATGGTGGCTACATCTTACTCCAAGATGGTACCTGATGTTAGAGCAAATATCTGAACTCAGAACTGAAAGAAAGCTGATAACTCAAGGAAAGACCGCAGGATTTGAATTGAAATAGGTCTTTTTACTGGTTAAAATTTAAAAACAAAGCAGATCTTTTTAGTGTAGCGTAACAGTTAGGAACAGGAGCTCTCAAGCCAGACTTCTTGGATTCAAATCTTGGCACCTTTCATAATTATCTGCGTGGCTTTGGGCAAGTTACTTAATCTCACTGTGCCTCAGTTTTCTCATCTCATAATGTAATGAGGATTAAATGAGTTTGTACAATAAATAAGCTCTTAGAACTAGGCTTGGTGTGTAGTAAACACTCCGTAATTAATAACTGCTGTTAGTATGATCGTCGTCATGATTATTGATATTTTAGAAAACAACCATAAAATAGTAATCACTAGTATCAGGACTATGAGGTAACTATTGTAAACCCTTGATGCATTTCCTTTCAGTATTTTTAGTTTGATTTTTACATAGTTGAGGCTTTACTAGCTGAATAATTTTCCACTCTGCTTTTTTCAGCCAGTACCATAAGCATTTTCTCCTGCTATGATTTTGTCAGCGTCTTTTTATTTTTTATTTGTTTATTTATTTTGCAGGGAAAGATTCACCCTGAGCTAACGTCTGTTGCCAGGCTTCCTCTTTTTTTCCCCTCGCAAAGCCCAGTGCATGATTGTATATCCTAGTTGTAAGTCCTTCTAGTTCTCCTATGTGAGCCACCACCACAGCCTGGCCACTGACAGATGGGTGGTGTGGTTCTGCCACCCGGAGACAAACCCGGGCCACTGAAGCAGTGAGAGCGCCAAACTTCAACCACTAGACCATCAGGGCTGACTCTTGTCAGCATCTTTTTAAATGACCACGTGTTTGTGTGAATTTCTCTTAATTAAACGTTTTCCTGTTGCACAATTAGCAAGTTTCTAACTTTTTTATGCAGTTATAAGAACACTACAATGAACATCCTTGTACATAATACAATTTCTGTGTTTTAGATTATTTCGTTAAGATAGATTCCCCAAAGTGAAAATCTTGGGTCAGAGTATATGAACATTCAGAGGTCAAGGTCCATGTTGCCAAATTGCTTTTACTTAAGGGAAATAAAGGACTTAAACTGAGGAGCACATGTTTATTGCCCTTATTGCTTGAGATGGGAGGAGAGAGAGAGAATTAACATTTTTTCCGTGTAGTATACTAGACATTATTTGTAGGCAGTTAGCATACATGGTTTCTTTTACATATGTGATGCTCATTATCATAGACTTGTGTTACATGTGGGAGTTACTTCCATTTTACTGATGGGAGAAGTGAAGTGTAGATAGGTAAGTGCCTGAAGACTCAGAGTTCAAGGCTGGATCTGAATCTGGATCTGCCTGGTTGCAAAGCACATATTCTTTTATTTGTAAAATTTTATGTAATATAAGTATTCAGAATTTTAAAATGAATACATATATATAATGAATGAATACAAAATCTTATAGTGAATCTTTTTTTTTTTTAAAGATTTTATTTTTCCTTTTTCTCCCCAAAGCCCCCGAGTACATAGCTGTATATATTTTAGTTGTGGGTCCTTCTAGTTGTGGTATGTGGGATGCCGCCTCAGCATAGCCTGATGAGTTGTGCCATGTCTACGCCCAGGATCCGAACTGGTGAAACCCTGGGCTGTCGAAGCAGAATGCGCAAACTTAACCACTTGGCCACGGGGCCAGCCCCTTATAATGAATCTTATAATTCACCATAGCATAGTGAATCTACTAACTATTAATCATAGATCACATTTTTAAGACAGTGAAACTGAGCTGGAAGTAATGAATGGATAAATTACAAAGTCACACCAGATAGGGCTTAACTATCCACATACATTTTAGAAAAGGGAAAAAAAACCCTTACTTGGATGAGATGTAATTGGTAGTGAATATATAAAGCTGGTTTGTAAAATGAATGCAGCAAGCATTTGTGGGTAAAACACTCTTAATAATGACCTCGGCACAGGTGGGGAGGGAAAAAAAGAGAAATCCATCGAAATTGAGGTTAAGAGAACTGACAAAGGCCCATTAAATAACTAAATTGAAAAATACGCTTAGTAAACCCCCTGGCAAAGTAAACTAAAGTCTTAATAGAGAGATACCCCCCAAAAATTAAGAGGTGTTCTAGATAAGGAGAATAAGGTAAGGGGTGGGAGATTAATTTTATACTGAAAATAAAAGCAAAAAAAACCCATTTGAGTTGCATTTTACAGTTGATTTTGAAGCACTCTGAAGCCACTAGTAAAATAATCATCTCTGGAGCCCTTTAATCCTCAGATGAAGAAGTTACTGCCGTAGAGGATCCCAGAAAAGCATTGCTTTTGTCTTTACTAAGGAAGAAATTAGAGAAGAGAAATATTTCAGCAATCAGCAAATTGTGAGCGTATTAAACAGGTGTGAGTAAATGATTAGGTGGTATTCACCAGAATTGTAAAGAAACAAATATAAAACATTGATCCTTATGCTGCCATTAGAAATAATGGTTTTAAAAAATACTTAATGAAGTAAAAATATAGTTTACTTTGGTTGGAGCATAGGAAAACAGGGAACTGAAGAGAAAGATGGCAAATTAGGAAGGACTTCATGTGCCGTTTATTCATTCACTAAAGATTTATTAGTGCTAGGATTGTCCCTTGTTGTCAAGAGATTTACATGCTAGTGGAGGAGAGATACGTAAACAGAAAAGTGCAGTGGAATAGGCACAGCTTTTATGATACGAATCTGGAGGCGCCCAGGAGGGCTAGCAATAGAGTCCGTGGGGAGGGTGGGAGAAATGGCTCAGGCTTTTCTGGGGAAAAGGGGCAGCACTTCAGAGGGCGTGTCAGCAAAGATAAGGACCTACTATGTTATTGTAACTCTA